CCCAAAACCCCAAAACCCCAAAACCCCAAAACCCCAAAACCCCAAAACCCCGGAACATTTAAGGGGAGCTGAAATTTAAATATTAATAATTTAGAGCCAAATCTATTTCATAAAATGGAGGATAGCCTAATTGGATACAAATTTAGGGAAGAAGCTCTTCCCTTTGTTGTTCATAATCCAGAAACTCAAGGTAAGATAATTAGGCAGTTCAGAAGTTTACTATTATTTAGCTTTCGAGATCTCAAATGAAGCAAAGGAGCTCTTCAAAAATATTAGCGGACCTTTTGGTATTGTGTCAGTTGCAGGAATGTATCGAACAGGAAAGTCATACCTCTTGAATAAAGTCCTTCTTGACTTAGATAAAGGAGACCGAGGATTTGGAGTTGGTCCTTCAATAAACCCTTGCACTAAGGTAAGAACTAGTTTAAATTTTAAATAGGGACTATGGATATGGGGAACGCCAGTCTCTGGCTTCTCTCCTGACGGAAAGCCAATCAATATTCTCATCATTGATTCAGAAGGTATTGGAGCACTTGATGAGGACAGTAATCACGATACGAGGATCTTTTCTTTGTGCATTCTTCTCTCATCGTAAGTTTATTAAATTTACCCGCAAATTTTAGATTCTTTTTGTATAATTCAATGGGAAGTATTGACGAAAGTGCACTACAAAATCTGAACCTTGTGATTAATTTGACGAAGCATATTCACATCAAATCCAACGTGAACCAAGAAGAGATAGACTCTGACGAATATTCTGAGTATTTCCCCTCATTTATGTGGATCGTCAGAGACTTCACTCTTCAGTTGTTGAACGAAGAACTTGAAGAGATCAATTCAAATCAGTATCTTGAGAAAGCATTGGAGGAACAGAGTGGTTTCAGTGATAAAATCGAAGAGAAAAATAGGATCAGGAGGCTACTGAAGAGCTTCTTCAAAGAAAGGCAGTGCTTCACCATGATCAGGCCTGTCACTGACGAAGAGATGCTTCAAAATCTAGATTCTATGGATGAAGAGCAGTTTAGGCCAGATTTTGTTGAGCAAGTGTTTCAGTTGAGGAGGAAAGTCATAAATTGTGTCAAGCCAAAGACACTTAATGGCAAGCAACTTTCACCTGAAATGTTCCTGACTCTTGCCGAGAGTTACGTTGTTGCCATTAATCAAGGAGCAGTCCCTAATATTGAAAACGCTTGGACTTATATTTGCCAGAATGAGTCCAGGAAGAGTATGGAAAAAGCCCTCTCAAGATTTGATGAGTGGATGAATGATGAACTCATTCATAGATTCCCTGTTGAGGAGAGCGAGCTCCAGGAGAGATATTTCGAGGTCAGAGCTGAATGAAAGGAAATATTCACTAAGTCCTCTGTTGGTGGTGTAATTGATTGAGATTATCTTGAGCTAAAGGAAGAGCTTGATAACAAATTTAAACGTATTCGTGTTGAGAATGAAAATCAATGTCGAGATCAATGATGTGAATATTGAGAATCTTATTATTCAGAGATTGATAGGAGAATCAGAGAAGATGAGATCCAAGACTTCGACCAATTCCGCAAAGAAATGGACGACTTCGGTGAAACTTTCTTCCATGAAGCTCCTCCCGGTCCTGCTCGATATGAAGTTCTGCTCGAGTTCACCAGAGCCAAGATCATCGAAGTTATTGAGTATTTCATCAGCAAGTTCAGAAGAGAACTCGAGTTTAACAACCAACTATCGCAAGAAAAAGTCAACTCTCTTCAGAGCCAAATCGACGATTTGAAGAAGCGACTTGCTCAACAGCAGAATGACTACGAAGCCCAGGTAAAGAACTTAAACATGGAAAAAGCAAACAGCCTTGTCCAGATTGCAACTGCCAAAGAGAGCATCGAGATGGAACGCAAGCTTCATGAACAGTCTGTGCAAGATCTCAGAGCCAAGTTCAAACGAGAGAAAGAAGCTGCCGATCAGAAGATCACTCAACTCACCGAGAAAATGGCTACTTCCAAGAAAGCTGAAGCCGAGTCCAAGAATAAACTAATGAGAGAAGAAAGTGAGTACAGCAAGCAGCTATCGCTTTTGCAGCAAGAGCTTGAGTTCCACAAGAAAGACCTCCAAGACAGAAAGAAGAAAGAAGAAGGTCTCAACCAGAAGCTCAGTCTCCAGAGAGAACAGTACCAAGACGAAACCAAGAAGCAGAAACTCAATGGCGACGCTGAAATTTCAAGGCTCAACCAGGAACTTGAAGACCACAAGGAACGAATCACAGAGCTCGAAGTGATCCACGAGAAAGAGCGACTTGAACACCAGAATGCCATTGAAGACCTGAGCCAGAGACTAGCAGAAACTTCATCAGCAAGCCACTGCACTTCAGAAGAATTTGCTCAGATGGAAGCCAACCTCGACTTGATGAGAGAAGAAAAGCGTAAATCCATCGAACAGCTCCAACTTGCTCACGAGTCCGAAACAGAGGAGTTGAGAGGCGAACTTGCTGAAGCTACCGACAAACGCAAAGAAGCGGAGCAGCGTTTGCTTGACGATAAAATTGCGCACGAAAAGCAAATCGAAATTCTCCAACAGAAAGTGAACCTGAAAGATGAAAGCATCCGCGACCTCACTGCTGAAATAGACGAAAGTAAACGCATCATCAACAGCATCAACGCGTCGATTGGAGACAACTCCGAAGACGACAGCACTGTGAGCCAGCTCCAGATCGAGATTTCTCAGTTGCAGTCTGACCTTGAAAACCAGAGAAGCGAGTTCGACAGAAGAATCAAGAAGCTCAAAGACGACCACGAGAGCGAAGTGAGCGACATTGCAAGCAGTCGCAGAGCCTCAGAAACTCAGTGGACTCTTGAGAAGAGTGACTTCGAAAACACCATATCTGAGCTGCAAGCCCAGATCGAAGAACTTGGTCAGGAACTCGATCAGTACAGGTCGTCTCCAAGCAAAGAACCATCTGAGTCAGGCTTCGGGGACGAGTTCGAATCACAGGGAGACCAAGAGATCCACAAACTACAGGCCACCATCAAGGCTCTCAAAGCGGACCACCTGGCAGCCCTTGGAAGAGAGAAAGAAGTTTCGAAGCAGCTCATCGAAGATCTCAAACAGTCGTTCAATGAAGAGAAGAGCGCTCTTGAAGCAAGGATCCATGAAATCAAACAGAAGTTCGATGAAGAAGTCAAAGATATCCAGAAAGAAAACGAGGAAACTGTCCAGAGAAAAGACGCTGAGATCGAAGAACTCGAGTACTCCAAAATCAGCGAACTTGAGCAGTGTGAGGCCTACTTCGAAGAGAAAATCAATGAATACAAAAACAGAGAGACTGAACTAGGAACCAGGATCAAGGGGCTTGAACAACAACTCAGCGATAAGAATTTATTCCTTGAGAAGAATTCAGTTGACCAGAAGTCGAACTTCGACAGACTTCTTGAAGACGCCCAGAAAGAAAAGAGAGAAATTGCTGAGAAATACGAATCCATTCAAAACGAGAAAATGCAGCTGAATATGGAGTTGTCCCAGGCCAACGAGAAAGTCTCCAAGATCGAAAACATTTATAAAGCCAAGCTCGCCGAAGCAGAAGAAGAGCTCGAGCAGTTGAAGGCAGAGAGAACCGAACTCGAAGCTGCACTTAAGGAACTCGAAGAAGGAAAGAACTTGGTTGAGTCTGAAAGAGAGAGGATTAAGTTCGAGTTCGACAAAAAGTGCAGTCTGCTTGAACAAGAACTCAAGTTTGCTAAAAAGAATCTGGCTGAAGAGCGTGAGAAGTCTGCCAGTGAAATTGCGGCACTGAAGAGTGAGAACAGCCAGGCAAATTCTGGATCTCTCAAAGACCTCGAAGCGAAACTTGAAACCGTTAAAGAAGAAAAGGAGCGGCTCAGAGAAAAGTATAACTCCAAGAACAGCGAACTCAAAGAAGTCAAGGAAGACCTCAACAGCAAGAACTCAGAGCTGGAGAGAGACGCCGCTCTTCTAGGTGAGAAACTCAAGAATGCAGAGAACAGAGCCGAAGAAGCAGCGAAGGAGTACGAGAGAAGGATCGAGGCAGCTGAAAGTCAGAACACAAATGAGGCATCAGCTTTGAAGGTGGACAACGAAGCTTTGAGAGACGAAGTTGGAAGTCTCAAATCTAAGATGGAAACAATTGAGAATGAAAACCATGAACTGATCTCAAAATACGATAAGGATACATCACTTCTAATGAATGAACTTGAACATTATAAATCTAACCTCACTTCCTCTAAGATTGAAATGAAGGAAGATAGAGAAAGATTCCAGAGCGCTATCAACACATTGACTAATAAATTAGAAGAAAAGAAAAATAAAAAGATTTTAGAACAAAATGGGGTTTTAAAATCACTTGAAGAGAAGCACAACAACTATGTAAAAGATCTCAACAAACAGTTCTCTACCCAAATTGAAGAATATAAAGCCAACATCAAAGAACTTAAGGAGGCTAATATCGCACTGAGGGATGAGATGATGGGAGATAAAATGACTATCAAAAATTTAGCCAAGAACTTAGAAGCAGAGACTACCAAGCTCAGAGACAAAGAAGCTAGATTAACTAGTGATAAAGAGCAAACTGTTCATCAGCTCAAGACCAGAATTCAAGAGCTTATCGAAAAGAACACTGAACATGAAAATGAGTTAGAGGAGCAAATCAAAGAGCTTTCTAACCGTGAGCAGAAGCTTAATTTTGCTCTTAATAAGATGAATAGCCAGTATAATATGGAAATGGATAAGTTGAAGCAAGAGATTAGCAATAAAGCTATCAAATATGATAGATTGAAATCTACTCATGAAAAGGTAGTCAAAGACCTTCAAAAGGTAAAAGACTCTAAAAAGAATATCAGGAGGAATTATAATGTAGAGAGAAGTACAGCCAATTTTGCTAAGTATAAGCCTTCCTATGCTGGCACTTCAGCAAAGAGAGGTCAGAGTTCAACTGGGTCTTCTATGAATGGATCTCAGAAAGAGAATACTTACATTGGGTCGAAATTTATCGGTGATAGTCATCAGTTTGGGCTGAATATGACTAATGATTTGACAAATCTGCAGACAAGCAAGAGCTCAGTTCCCCTGAATAAGATCCCTACAAAAATCAGCACTCCAGTATCCCAAGTAAAGACTCATGAGGATGAAGATGAGGAATAATTTGTATAATTTGCATCTCAATATATAAATTCACTATGGGGTTTTGGGGTTTTGGGGTTTTGGGGTTTTGGGGTTTTGGGG